GAAAATTCAACAAATTAGCTTACAAGAAAGAATTTCATAGGTAAGAATACTTTCTCCTGTCAAAATGACCATTCCCAGCTAGTGAATGACTCATGATCTGCATCAAAGATCATGAAAAATTTACAAAATGAGACATACATGTATGAGAATGAATAGCCCTGAAGATTCATGGGATTCATTTAATCAATGCCCATCATACTACTATTATGAATAAACTGCTGAGCTTGAAAGCCAGTCCTGCAAATTGAATTTTATCCCTTTATTGTATTGCTTTTGACCTTCTGGAAAGCTGATGCTAATTTGATGATTTTAAATCATTTTAATATAGAAGGCACTTTATATACATTGTAGTTATGAAACATATTTTGTTATTGCCCAAAACAGAGAAAATGATGAAAATTTTATGTTCTAAACAGGGTCAAAAGTCTACAATTAAAAAACAACTTTTTGTCAAGACTCAGTGACAAAACCTGTTTAATGGAAGAGTGAACCTCAGAAACTTGAGAAAAAATATCAATCTTCACTGTTTTCTCCAGCAAAATTGCCATTTTTTCCCTAGACACATTAGATGAAAAATTGCACTGTTATGAAACAGGTTTCTGTTTTACAAAATTATGAGTCAAAACAAAAGGATTAAATTAAGAAAGAAAATATACCTTCCACAAATAAATTGATGGACTTCTGAGAATCAACAAAAATATCAAAGAATTTACAGAAAATAATACATGTATCACTGTATTTTTCATACATCTAAATTATCTTCCTTTGTGAAAGGGTGTGGCCCTCATTTGAATAGACTTGAAATCCCATTTTCAAATGATAATTTGAAGAAAGTAAAATCAACCATGTGGTTCTGGAGAAAAGATGAAATTGTGAAAAGTTGATAGTTGTCTAGACACACCCCAGACAATTCTTGATCAGAGAAGCTCAATGGTTCAAATGAGCTTTAAAGTAAGTTACTGTTTTGATATAAAAAGACTACATTTAAAACCAGTAGGGCCTATTTTGAGGCAAAGAAAATTAACACTGTGGAAAGTTGCTTGTATATTATATTCATAATTTGATGCATTAATTGAACTGTTTTTGAAAGAAATATTTTTGAAGATTTTTTTCCTTGATTGCTTTGAGTTGATTTGGTTAATAGTAGTCCAGTTGGTCTGGCATAGAAGTAAATTCAGGGAAACGTAAGTGCTTAGTATGGCTTACTTGTAGTGTGGAGATAAGAGTAATTGACCTTGACCTTGTCCAAAACTCCAAAATGGCCTTTGTTCAAAGTCATAACATATTCTCTTACTCCGCACCATTAAGTATCAACAGTTTACTTCTAAAAGATTTTCCATAATAAAGTTTGGACCTTGTAAGAATGTTACACTTGTGATCTAGACCTTATATCCAAACAACTTTGTGTCAAAATCTTAACTTTTTCTTTGGTCAAATATGAGTTTCTAATATTTCTCCATGACAAAGCCATGAATTAAAAATAAATTTCCCATGGGCGAGGTGACCTTGACCTTCTGTCAGGTTGAGACACACCCTCTGGTCATAAGCCACCTTTTTGCACTTTCAAAAATTACTGATGCAAGACTAGCGATAGACAAAAGTATAAAGAGATAAACAGGTCAAAAACAGTATTCCCTGTACCTTACCCTTCTCATGGTGTTCATGACATAAAAGTTCAGTTACAGGATGCAAAAGATAGCAAAGTGTCACCTGAGAGACCTAGGACACACGAAAACATAATCAGAGACTTGGCAAACCTTGATTCTGACTTCTTTCATCTGCTTTCTCCATTTTACAAAATTCTTAACACAAGTATAAATTTCCCATTTCATGCAGCTTAATTGTTGGACTCAGAGCCAGATAATTAAAATTGATGACCACTGATGCATTTGCACAAAGGGAAAATCTTGGGATAAAACCCCCATAAATCAGTCATTTACATCATCAGAGCCATAGCAACCTGATCATGAGGGACAAAAAATCCTTTTAATTCTTCCATTAAAGGTGAGGTAGTAGAGTAAATCTTACCCTGCCTAATAAGGAAGGTGCTACCTAAATTATGGGTTTGTTTTGGGCTAATCTTGTAGTACACATGATTTAAATCTTCCTGATAGAAACAATCAGGGACACTTTGCCACATTTTGGGTCCCTGAAGAGGAAAATACTATGCTTGGATTTTGTGGTTTAAAGTTGACAAAAGTACATCCTTTTTAAAATACCTAAGGTATTTCATAGGAAGAATAATTATACAATTGCAACTAGCCTAAGATCATAACATATCCTGTGATTAAATGCAGCTTTTGTTCAGTTTTGTTATCTCTACATTACTGCTATGAATACAAAACTTCATATTTATTTATGACCTGTCCAAATGGCCTTAACTCAAGGTTATGACATTAGCTCTCTGGAAAAGGTCTTTGTCAAAAGTATGAGCTTCCATTTAACTCCTACTCCAATACTAGTATAATAATATTAATATATGTAATATATAACCAAACTTGTCATTAAGCAACCCTGGGTGAAGGATATTCACATTTGTTCAAATGAAGGACCACGCCCTCTTTCAAGCAGAGATATTTGAGAATTAGTGAAATTTGGTGGCACCTTTTAAACATCTTCTTCTCAAAAACCACTAGGCAAGAAAAGTTGAAAATTGTCTGAAACCTTCATTACATGGTGTAGATTCAAGTTTGTTCAAATCATGACCCTTCGGGTAGGGTTTGGCCAGAATGGGTGATGAAATTTTTTTTTACATAGGATGAAATAGAAAAATTTTTTTTTTAAACTTTCTTCTTAAGAACATCAAAAGCATGATTAGTCATATTGATATGAAAACAACCTCAGGTAGAGTACATTCAAGTTTGTTCAAATCATGATCCCTGGGGGTAGGGTGGGGCTGCAATCGGGGATCAGAGTTTTACATAGGAATATATAGGAGAAAATCTTTAAAATCTTCTGAAGAACTTCAAAGCTATGATTAGTCATATTGACATGGAAACATCCTCAGGTAGAGTATATTCAAGTTTGTTCAAATCATGATTTTTGGGGGTAGAGTGGGGCCACAATGAGGGATCAGAGTTTTACATAGGAATATATAGGAAAAAATCTGAAGAAGAAAACAGCAAAACCATGATTAGTCATATTTATATGGAAACATACTCAGGTAGAGTACATTCAAATTTGTTCAAATTATGACCCCCAAGGGTAGGTTGGAGCCATATTTGTAAAAATTCTCCTCTCAAGAATAGTTGACAATTATAGGAACACATAAGACAAAAAAAATATGCTAATGAAGAATGTCAGGGCCATAACTGACTCAGGTGAGCATTGTGGCCCATGGGCCTGTTGTTTCCAAATATTGCCTTGGTTCAGCAGCAACTTTTCTCCATCATTTGACATAGACTTTATCACTAAGGCAAGTTTCATAAGTGTTAATACAAACTACCATGATGTTTTATTCTTATTTGACTTATTATTATTAGTAATGATTTATATTTTAATATATATATAGCAATATTCTTTTAACCTTAAAAGATTTCAATTCAATCAGGATTTTTCTTTTTTACATTTATTTATGCCAAGGGTATTATATAAGTCCCCATATTTCATCAAGGTGAGCTGAAAAATGAGAGATGAGCTAAAAAATGAGTCTCATGAACGTTTATACTCAAATATTTCAGAGAACATATTCTTTAAGCCACATTATACAGTGCATGTTCTTTTTATACATGTATCATCTACTCCTTTGTTAACACTCCCATCACCAAAGGAAGCCTTATCCAAAGTTGGGTTAATACTGGCCAGTTGGTTTTTAAGGAGAAGTTAAAAATATAAAAAGTTCATGACAGGACTGACAAGAGTTGATGAGAACAGATTGATACATTAGTAGCAATTAGTCACCTGACTGCATAAGCCTAATGACACCAGAAGTCTCTGATGAGACTGTAGCTCTACTGGTCTGTTTGTATAACAAAAGAAAAGTAGCACTTGGATTTGAAACATTGCAACATGCAACAATAAATAGAATTATGTATCTTAGTGTAGTCTACTTGTGTGCCAAGTTATATTGAAATCGGACCAAAACTGTAGGAGGAGTAGCGTTTTAAAGGAATTTCACAGAAATTTCTATTTTTAGTAACCATGGCAACACCGTCCATCGAAATCAAAAACCCATGCACTAAATTATGTATCTTAGTGTAGTCTACTTGTGTGCCAAGTTATATTGAAATCGGACCAAAACTGTAGGAGGAGTAGCGTTTTAAAGGAATTTCACAGAAATTTCTATTTTTAGTAACCATGGCAACACCGTCCATCGAAATCAAAAACCCATGCACTAAATTATGTATCTTAGTGTAGTCTACTTGTGTGCCAAGTTATATTGAAATCGGACCAAAACTGTAGGAGGAGTAGCGTTTTAAAGGAATTTCACAGAAATTTCTATTTTTAGTAACCATGGCAACACCGTCCATCGAAATCAAAAACCCATGCACTAAATTATGTATCTTAGTGTAGTCTACTTGTGTGCCAAGTTATACTGAAATCGGACCAAAACTGTAGGAGGAGTAGTGTTTTGAAAAATTGTTTACAGACAGACGGACAGACAGACAGACAGACAGACGGACGGACGACGGACACCTTACTATCGCATAAGCTCTTCTGGTCTCTGACCAGTAGAGCTAATTAAAAAATGAAGAAATAAAGAGTTCATGAATCCCTGGATTCTTTTTGTTAAAACCTCAAGAACACCTCAACATTTCTTTTATTACCGGATGTTTACATACAGTACACATTTTATACCTCTGTATCTTTAAATGAAAATAGATATTCATTGCATCCAAAACATAAAAATTCAATTTTCTAATCACCATCAAAATATTTATACTACAACCTGCATCACATGTGATACCATAATATACCTACTTTTTGCACAAGATAAAATTCATATCAATCAATCTATCAGTAAAAATTTTCAGGGAAACATATATTTTCTTTTGATGTAGGAATAATCAAGAAAGACAAAAAGAATAAGAACAGCAGTGGGCTGCTTGCTGATATAAAGCAGAGACAAGAAGCATGATCATTTCACAAGACGAGGGGCCCTGTAAGATTAACTAACAACACAGCAGGATTTCCAGAAGAAGCAAACAAAAAAGAGCTTCCAAGCCAATTTACAAAACAATTTGAGTTGCTGCAGCCTCTTAGTCTCAGCAGTGGTGACTTAATGTGAAGCAAATCCAGGTAGGAGGGAAGTAGAATTATGAAGTATATGTTTTCATAATAAACAGATATTTTCTCCCTAGCTTGTAGAACTAGGGCTTATCTTCATTAACGGAACATATAGACAACTTTAATTAAGAGCTTTGTTAAGAGTCACTACTAACACAGAAAATACCGAAACAAGCTTTATCTATAGGCTTCAGGTCTAAAACATGCAAAATCTTAGGGGGAAGCTAGAAATTTTACACCAAGTTCATTGCATAATCATGCACTTCTTCTTAACCCTTGACATTATGCACTAAACTTCAAAGAAATGTAAATTATATATACTCTTGTTTTCTTAAAAGAAGTGGTTCACTTGATATTCATGTGATTTTCTTTTTATTTGAAAATTGTGCAAAAATTATGTAAAAATTACTAGTATATAAATATTTTTTCAAGTGAATATCATGTGAATAGGTTTCGCAGTACATTTAAGGTGCCAAATGGAAATATTGGCAAATTTTTAGATAGAAAATACATTCTTTACAAGGATGGGCGTTTCTTTTTAGGACTTAACTATTATCAGACAAATGCAATGTGGTTGAAAACTACATGTTGAGGACGATTAGATTTCTTCTTTAGACTTGTCACGTGATGTGGCAGTCATGTGATTTTAGCAAATATACCTGAAGTATTGAGGTCATCTATAAATTCTAATATTGCAAGGGCATAACCAAGTTAAAAATCTAAGTTTAACATATGATTATTTTCAACACTTTTTGTAGTTTGTGAAAAGTGCTGCGAACCTATATAAATTCTACTATCTAATTGCTAAAATCACATTTGTTAGACTGTATGTTGAATATTTTGCTGGTCAAGTACATTAAATAAAGATATAATTAATTCTTTGCAAGATTTCAACAGGTTCGCAGCACTTTTCAAATATCTTTATACTTCTTGAGTTTATGTGTAAAAGCTTGTCATAATTCACTGAGGGTATGCTCTTGCAATATATCGATTTATTATGACCCTTCTATTACCCTTCAATGCATCTGCATACAAATATACGACAGTATCGCTTGTCAAGGGAATGTACGGGAAGTATATGAATAAAATCATAAAATAGACATCGCATCCAAGTTAACAGCCTCTTATATATCTACAATTTATATTTTATTTAATTACAAAGTACATTTTTCATTCATTTGTATAAATATAACTTTATCCGCCTCTCACTGCATACAAACTGCGTCAAATTTTACGATATGACATCACATTGACAAGTGTATTGCGATCAGTGAATTGCATTCGGCAAACCTCGGCTGATTCCATCACCTAGATGAGGTACGAATCGGCCGAGGTGTGTCGAGTGCAGTGAATTGTTCATATATTGCTGTGTGGGATTTAACCAACGACAATAATGCATGCACTAGTTAGTACTGATGTAGTTTAAAGCTATTCAACAGTTTAAAATAACAAATCATTTCATTTTGTGGTAATTTGAAGAACTTATATTTTTGTGTGATGTCATAGTAAGCATTTCCCTTATAAATTAGGCCCCGCCTCCTTACTGCAGCCTTAACTGTGCTGCTGTATGATGACTTCAATCATTCTTCTTTGAATGATTGCAATATGTGCCCAAACACAAAGTTCATGCTATCAAATGTCAATAACTCTGACCTTCTTCATATAACATATTTAAAGGATAATCAACCCCAAAGCCTCAAATTAAAACATCTTTAAATTTACAGAATACAGACTTATGGAGGTAAAAAGCACCTGGTTCTTCATAATTCTTGAGGGGATATGTTGGTTTCTTTTTTACTGAAAGTGTGAAACAGATTTATATAATTTACATTGGACTGAGTGCCACAACTCTCATCAATGATATTGTTCAAGACAGATATAATGATGGGGATAATGTAAGCTTGGGGCTCTGAACATAATACTGCGGAATCATTTTAATTTATGGGGGTTAAATGTGTGTGGGCAAGCAAAATTTTACTGGTTGTGGACATAATTTTGTGGGTGAATTGTTTATAAGGTAGATTAAATGAATCAATACACTGACAAAATAATCATTGGTGGTGGATATAAATTTGTGGGTACCAGTACATCAATCTGACCCATGAACAATGATGATTCCATATTAGTTGGATATCTAGCAGAAAATAGGTGAAATTTGAAAAAAAAAAAAAAAAACACCAACAGGGTTCATTTGCTCACTATATCCCATTAGCATATAGAATTTGATGAAAACTAAGTAAAAGGTTCCTGAAATATATACTGGTATTCATAAGTGGTATATTTGACTCTTGAGCTCAAAATTCATTTGGGTCAGTGTTTAATCTTTCCAATATATATGTACTCAAAGTTTGATGATGGTGTAAAATATTGTCAGAAAACCATTTGGTGTTGGAAATTCATTACCTTTGATCAAAAAATTAAAAGGGGTCATCTGTTTACCAAGGTCAACCTGTGTACAAAGTTTTATGACTAAAAAGCACATGATTTTTAAGCTACTGGCTTGTAACCATTTGCCTACCTACCAACCATCCAACCAAATGACAACTACAAACCAACATGCCCCATTACTTCAAAAGGGTGGTGGTGGTGGGGGGGGGGGGATAATCCAAGTGCCAGAACAAATTCTCCTCCACGCCATCAACTACATGTAAGTGTGTAAAATTTGAGAATTCTTGACTTTTCTTAAGAGCCAGAACTATAATTGTAATAGCAAAGTAAAGATTAAATGTTTTTCAGCTTTTGCCATTTTGACAAGATGATATATATGTAAGCAGAGTGTCATAACTCTCTTTCACTGTTCACAATTATGTTTCGCTCCTTACATAAATTTTAACACTGTAATGTTTTTGCATGCAAGTTAACATTAGCATTTTCATTTTTCATAAAGGAAAAATGATATATGCTGCAATTTCAGACACATTTTATGCATTTGTCTGAAGTGTCTCATGGCTGCCTGAGATGAATCCTTAAAATTAGTAAATGCTAACTTGGGCCTGCAAAAAACAAACCCATAGTATGGGATTCAGCTCTGCATGAAAAAAAAACTCCATTCAACAATTTCCATACCCTATTTCCTTCTGAATTAATAGCTCCATCATCTTTGTATTGCTATCAAAATACATAAATACACAATCCAAAGAATGACATCGTTTTGCTGCATTTCACTTTTACAGATGACTGCAATGGCTCCATCATTCTTAATTGACTAGACCCACTAACCAAAAAAATTAATACATTTTATCTTCATTTTGTGAGAAATCTGATAAAACATCCCAAATTGGTTAGAATCATGCAATTCATTTACCATTATAATATCTTTTTACTACTGAAATAAAATCCATATCATATTGGATGCTCTGAACACATCATTGACTTTTTCTAAATGAGTGAACAAGATACGCACTCAATTGATCACATTCCAATTAGCAAGGATCAGTATTGATGTAAGAAATGTGCAGATAATGTCACATTAATTAAATAGGCACTTTTTAAAATATGATATTTACTACATAATTTTTTTCTAAAGACAACCTTGTTTCTCGAACTTGTGACTTGTTATTTTCAGCAGTTTCCACACTGAATAGAAGTCCATGAAATCACCTGGTTATAAGTATATTTCATGACAAGAAACAACTTCATACAATGTAAACTACATATTTTGTTAAAATGAATAGCACTTAGTCCTCTAGGAATATTCTCAGATTGGAGTGTTCTCCCAACCTCTTTAAAGAATGTACGATAACCAGATTAATGTTGTCTGTGTCTATCATGTGTGGGTCTACTCTCATTTTGTATTAATTACACAAAAAAATTACTTAGAATCATTGCTATTTCTTAAGGTAACACTCGTCTGACTCAGTTTAGTCTGGACAACCAGCAAAGTTTTTTTTTTGTAAATTGACCAATTACACCCATATTTCTATCTTTAAAATCTTAATAGACAAGTAATTGTGCAATAAACAATCCTTTGGCCAATGTTAATATGGTTAAGAGTTGCATTAAGGAATTATTTGTGTTTGATCATACTATTACCTTTGTCATTTCTGAAAGGTATCAGGTATTTAACCTTTTGCTCTAAGTCTCCCCTGGAAATCAATGAAATTGCACCAGTATCTTTGCTATATAATTTATCTTCAGCCACCAGATTATTATACACAGTATGAAACAAGCATGAAATCCAATTAATGAGTTTTTTTAAAGTTTATCTGAATTCTCCCTATAGTGAAAACTAAATGGTCCTGCACCCAAGGGATTAGGAGCTATTCTCTCATCTCTGTGGGGACATTCTTCGTGACAACTTCTTCCCTTGTTCCAACTTGAGAATTGTCCCAGGAAGCAGTGTCATTTCAAGGTTAAGATTTCATGCTTGAAATGTCCTTAATCTTCTTCTATAACAGAAAAAGGATATGTATAATGTTTTAAGTACAAAACAACAAATGCAAGAAGTACTTAAACAATTTCCTCTTTTGGTGTGAATTTTCATGGAAAATGAATCTATGCTTTCAAATGGCTCTTCTAAAACTTCATGAATCTGAAGCAACTCATACATAGTATCATATTTTATGGCTTGTATTCAAACTTTGTTGTATGTACAAGTTTTATGAGGTCTTACACAAAAATGTTTATGAGAAAACATGTCAAATCTGTCAAAAAATGTTATAAATTTACATTACTTTGCACCATAATACCTTCCAATATCACTGGAATTGGAGAAATTCAAACCTCTGAATTCCTATCAATGTCATCTTGCAATTCCTCAGAGAAATTAGACAGAGCAGTTTTATTAGATCATAAATGCCAATCTACTAATCACAAAATCAGTTTATATACTGAACTTGAATCAACTCAGTTAAAAAATGAACTACTTAACCAACAAATCTGAACTCGACAAACAGAAACTCTTCAATTGCAGTAATTTGTATATCACTGATTCCAAGATAAAACATGATCAATGTGAAATGTTTCATTTATAAATTCTTCATGCTTTTAGAAATTTAAGGTAAAATGTAACTTGTAGAATGGCTGGAATATATACATGTATATATATTCAAGGAGTAACCTGCTTAACTTGCTTAGCAGCTGAAAACTTTAAGGTTCACTGACCCTCTGAAAAGAGAGATAACTCTCATTGTGATACATGAGTATTATTCCTTTATAAAATTGTCAAGTTAAAAGCCTACTTCTGTCAAATTTGGCCCACACTGAAATTATGAGCATTTGTAATTATTTTGGAAAATCACTTGTATTAAGGGAATGCAGGACACATGTCACAATTGACTACGTCATAATCCCTATTAATAAAGATGCCAAAACGTTATTGAAATTGCCAGTAGTTGTGTAATTTTTGTGCAAGTTGTTGTGCTTTTTCATCTTATATAAAATTATTTCAAAAGTTTAAAATTCATATCAATATTAACAAATTGTGAAAAAGATTGATCCACTCCTCTGTTTCACCTACATTGCGCATCTAACAAGTCAGTGACATCAAACATAATCCGTTAAAGCAGCAAGATCTAGTGCAACAAGATCAAGTACACTTGATTACATGGTCAACTTTATTGTATGAAACAAATGATTGTCAGCCTATTTTGATGTATTAAGTGAAAGAGGAAACACAATCATAATTTTTGCTTGGATGTTAGCAGTATTTTTTTTATATTTATATCTTATATTGCTCAAAAAGGCTTTCCTGTGACATCATAGTTTTTTCCCCATACTGGAAAAAATATAAACATACAGCATTTTTATCTCAATTACGTAATGTTTAATGATGTCATGTGCAATACTGGGGTAAACTTCACCTTTTGAATTTCTACAGTTAATTATTAAAATGAAGGACTTCAGTTTAGTCATAAATTTCAAAATATCTATATTAACATAATTTTTTCATAAAGGAGTTTTGTTGTTATTCAATCCATATCCAGTGTAGAATAAAAATCTTGCTTTAAGAATGTTAAACTCAATTTATATAGTAAAATATTTGAAGAAATACACGTCCTCGTACATATCTTTTTATTTCTACGTAAAAATTCCTGCTACGAACTCGATAAAGAGACCATAAACGTGAAGAATCTAAACTTCATACAACACAGTAAGAAGCAATGTTTGTGTGGCGATATCTCTTATATGAGTCAAGAAATCTGTTGAAACTAATGCCTTAAAATATGTAGGGCATTCTAAATTAGTGATATACAAAATTTGAAAAAAGAATCATTGACAGGATATTTTTCAGCTCAAGGTCCTGTCCTCCTTAAAGCAAAATTTTATACAGTACAGTATAATCTGTCCAAAGTGGATACCGCCGGTTCCATAAAATTTGGCCAGATTAGACAGAATCCGGAGTGCAGAAAATATGCATAAAAATATTTGAAATTTATTTTCATTATTTTCTTTACAAGTACAATGCATATGTTGGGAAAATATATTTATAAATGATAACTTCATTCGACATTTTTGGAGTCTAGAAATTATTCAAGCGTAAAGCATCACTTACTATCAATTTTTCTTTTTCGTTCACAAAGTTCGAGACTTTCAACGTGAAATGTTTAAACAGAGTCAAAATCTACAGACACATATATATCAAGCGCCGGTTTTGCAAGTCAAAAAGTGCGTTCAACATAACCATGAAGGAGTCAAAATCTACAGACACGTATTTATCAAGCGCGGGTTTTGCAAGTCAAAAAGCACGATCAATATAACCATGTACACAATTATTTACGATTTGATAATTACTGAATTGACATTTTAATTTTTATATAAACATTTGCGTCTTCCCCCCAATGTTATGGCACCAGTTTGAAATGAGACGTTTGAGTTCGAATCCCGATTTATATTTTGATTTATAAATCGTGTACCTTTATTGTCATTGATTTAATGCTATACTGTATGATATGGAGGCAAAAGAAAGTTAAATGAGTAAGTATTTTTTCTTCATTTACTTGTAACTTGACCGTATATTTCCTTAAGTGGGCTGTGTCACCGCCACGTTTCAGTTCGTTTCATGACTATAATGTAAACACAAGTTAGCAGGTGTTAATCAGTTAATTGCATTGAGGTGACTCAGGTAATTTTGTGTGGCCGGATTAGAGGAGGTAATTACCGTTAATTATGAGCAAATACCTGAACTGAACTGAATTTATTGATCTCTTCACAATTTTACAATTGTATAGCGAGATATAAATGTAAACTACAATGATGAAAAATAAAAACACATATATGGCATGCGTGAGTATGAGGATAGACAAATAGTACAATTATAGGTTTAGGTCTTTACTAGTTTGGGGAGCACGTTTTAGTAATTTTTTTAATAAATATACACAGTTTTCTTAAAAATGACTGTTTATCTGAATTCATTATTTCTCTAAATGTAATTGTATTTTTGAATCGTAATTGTTTTTGTGTTAAACATTTATTTCTTTCACGTGTCATTGCCGTACAATTTAATATGTAATGGAATTCATCTCCTATTTCATTTAATTGACATTTCTTACATAGTCTAATCTCTCTTGGTTCATTTAATCAACGTCCCAATAGGGACCAATATGACCATTCAGAATGCAGAATAGACAGTATCCGGAGTACACAGAATTTTTTATAATACATTTGTTTAAGAAGTGCATGGGACTAAAATTTTTAGTCGAACTGGACAAAATTTCGGAGTACTCAGAGTCCGGATTAGACAAATTTTACTGTATTTTAAAACTGAAACTCCCATATTTGGCATCATCATCAATGTATGAAATTTTTTACAATCAATGGTGAATGTTTTCTCTATATTATTGCCTATTATCTGGTTGTGGTCCTCTGCAAGTTAGTTTTCATGACTATACTGTTATTTCATGCATCACTTTAAAGATTTTTAAAAGGAGTTTTTGTTTATAATTCCCCTACCTATCATGGCCAGGAGGTTGAGGCTTAATGAAAGATTTCATCTACAACAGCTTTAACTATAATTTCACTTGCCAAAACAAAAACTGCAATGGGAGAATAACAGACAATGTCTGACAGACATTCAAAGTGGTATTGCACTTGCATTAAGTATCAGTCAACAAAAATCTGAATGACAGCATTACAGCTATCTTAAACATTTTTTAAAGAGGGTTTTAAAATGGCTGTGAGCAAATTTCAGCTAAGTGTCTGAGGTTATGGATGTACTACATAAACAAAAAGAAATCTGGATACAATTGTAATTGGGGGAAAAATCTACTATTTCGCAAAAATTCCAGGTGGAAGAAATGCAATAAAGAGGGGAAATTTTGCTGTACAGGGGGAAGATTTGCAATGTTTGCAATATAGCATTTCTTCTACAGGAAAATATTTGCTACACTGCAAAAAATGAAAAATGAGGGGGTGGGGGGAGGGAGTTTGGCTATATAGCAAATCTTCCATGGAATTTCTGCAAGGGGGAACATTGAATATAGGACACCAGCAGGCCTTTAGTAAATGAATTAAAAATAATTGCAATGTAAAATTTGAACCAATAACATAATGTTGGAAGGTCTGCTATGTGGATTTTTTTCTATATAGCAGACATTTCGCCATGGGGAAAATTTGCTATATATACATGTACATCAATTTATGGGGGGGGGTGGGGGGATTTTTTGCTATGGGGGAAGTTTTGATGAACAATACTGGCATTAATTTTTTTTGCTTGTAATTTGCAACTCTCAATTTTTGGGGCCACTGGTTAGTAAGCATCTCCTTTTTTTTAATTCTGCTTCTTTTGCAAAATTTGGGTAATCAAACTTATGGGTATAAAACGGAATAAAAACTCCCTGATTATCACAAATGAAAGTATGGAAATAAATATGGAGCCAAAAGTGTTCCCAAAATTTCAACTGGACAGGAGGGAGAGGGAGGGAGAGACTTTGAAGTAACCACTTATGATATAAAGTCCAGTGATAATAGGAAGAGTTGGTCATTCTCTCTGACAGATTGTAGCCCTCTAGTACAGAATATTAGGTCAGACATTCTGTGTCCAAATTTTCTGTTCAAAAGTTTTGCAGCTATGACACATCCTGCTAAATGATTGGATTAACATCTGTTTAAGTATTAACAGTTACTTCAATATATGCTGTCAATTTATTCATGAAGTTTTACCTCTCATAATTATGAAAGACAAGTACATGTGACACCTATGGCATTAGCCTTTTTCCAGATTTTATGCTCATGAGGGCCTTTGCATTCTGGCCTTCAAATATATTACTGTCAAATTATTGCAAATGAATTGTTTTGTTGCACATGATCTGAATAAAGTAAATGCCAACAAACTCAGCTTTACTTGTGACATGTCATGTATCACTCAGCTTTGCTACCTGCTGCAGATATTACAGTAATATGACAAGTCTCTCATTATTGAAAAACTCTCACCTAAAGTTCATTTCTCTTCTTAATTTTCTGTATGGCAGTGAGATATTACAAAACCTTTAGATCTTTGTCATCATAAAATTTAAAAAAATATCATCACAGAACAAGGTACACAGAATAAAAAAATTGTACAGATTTGTTAGATAACAGGCCTTTATTTAAAAAAAAAAAGGTAATTGATTTTTCATACAAAAATGAAGCATGCATTAAATAAATTATGAAAAATTGAGTGATTTTAATAGATTTCATCAAGATTGTGGCATTCACCTTGTTGTTTGGGTCATAAAAAAAGCCACCAATAAAAATAAATCTCCTTTGAAGTCTCTCTCAATAAAAAAACAAGAAGCATGCATTGTAACTAAGGGTAACAGTAAGACCAAATAGAAAGTGACAACAATGTCACTCCAGCATGCATCAAAGTTCTGCTTTATCTTCCCATCACTATTCCTGATATCAGCATAGTGCAGCACAATGGGGAGAGATCAGCGATGATTGATGGCCTTTATGAGCAGATCTGCATGGTAATGCTCCAGCCTCACACCCTCATCACACCCCAATCAAATGTTGATACGATCAAATTCATTCACATTTATTGCTGCAGGGGCCTCTCTTACTTGCACCAAAACTTTGATGGTAATGCAATACACATGGCACCTTGGCAACAGCAAAAAGTTAATATTTTTTTTACACTTGTGACTTTCACTTCATCTTTTAATGGGTAATTTGTAATCATACTTGTCTAACAATTTTTCACTTACACATTAAGAAAGAAAAAATGAAAAATAAAAATTTCTGCATAACACTTTTTTTTAAAACACCAGTACCCCCCCCCCCCCCCCCCCCCCCCCCCAAATAAATCAGTATACCCAAAACGTTTTACATTTACAGACTACTCAAGAATTTAACTTATCTTTCCGCAAACAAGGAAAAAACGACCAAAAGATTTCGAACTCCCATAACTTTAACATTTTACGAGATTCCTTTATCCAAAAAACACATTTAAGATGAGCATGTGGAAGATTTATAGCTCTATCAAAGTGTCTGAAATTGTTAAAACCCGAGAAGAATTGTCTCTCCGATTCAGACACTTCAAGTCTACAATCTCTAAAATCATTTCATTTTTATTGTATTTATGTGCATTATTTTTCATTGACAACAATGAAAAAAATACCGGGTATTTATTTTTGGGTGTTTTTTCTAGTTTTCAATGTCTGTCTCTTTGGATACTAGCTCAGCCTGGGTAGCTCTTTAAAACATTCTATACTCCGTACACTTGGAATGCAATTACAATACATTCAGTTTAATGAACTTTCTCTCAAAGAAACTTGAGAAAAACTAATCACAAGAAATAACAAAATAGTTTTCATATCCAAACAGATGGCTATCAAGATGGGTTTTTAAGGTATTTATGAATTATCAATTGTCTGTCAGCTAATGACACCTATACATAGATATAAGCTGTTAAAGTTTTCAAAAGGTGTGGAGATTTTTTGTGCAGGTGAATAGTTTCTAAATCGGTAAGTGACACGATTCATACCAACAGATTCAAAGGCTCTAGAATACAATTGCTGACAGATCCCATCTAATACACACTAATATGACATACAATATTAGCAGAGAATTAGAAATGGAAATACATCATAAATCTTTTTCCTGTCTATACACATGATGTGGAAGCTTCAAATTTCACTATTTTCCATAACTCATCTTCGTGTCACATTATTATTGAGCTTTGACAGATATGGGAGACTTTCTACACCACCCTCATATGTATAAAACTTCCAAGTATTTCAAATATCTTGGAGTCAGACTCCTACTTCTCTACCCCACCAAAAAATTCTAAAGTGTTAATATTTTCCTAGAAGCTTTCCATGCAATGTTCTGATTATAATGTAATTATACTGCTATTTCTGACTTCATCAGAAAGAGGAGGCAACTTCATTCAAAGTACACAGGGGATTATTCTAAAGATCAGTGCTTTATTCCATTAAACCTTTATAATTACCACAATGTTTTTCTTTTTTTCTGGAAGGGCTCTGACAATCTTTATGAAGCAAATCCAAAGGGCAGTAACTCTTGAATAAATGCATTCACAATTAGCATGGCATGAGGCATAACAATAGTATATTTACTTTTATTTTTATTTAGGTCATACGCAACATACCTTGCAAAAGCTGCACAACGTACCTTACCCATTTAACTTTTGAAGATATCCTTCAATAGGGATGCGCGATTTTATTGGTATATCCCGATTTTTTATTGTGTGATACGTATCGTGATAGGGAGACTAAAATACCGGTCTTTGGTACATAATTATAAATTCCAGAAATTATTCATTTATTTCTTCGAACTATTAAATAAAACTTACAGGAAGTCTAAAAAATGTTGAAAAAAGTTAAACTACGGCATCCAAACACGCTTTATATTATATATAATTAAAAATGAAAGAAAAAGTAAAGTTGATGTTTTTACAGCGTATTTGTAAGAAAAATTATAGAAATTCATTTGGAGTTGTAGTAAAATTTAGGTGTAGAAATATCATGATATTATCCTGATATTTTAGGGAAAAATTGTGATATATCACGATACGAAATTTTTGGCCATACCCATCCCTATCCTTCAAGCTGTGCCCCTCCCCCCCCCTCGCCCCCCCCCCCCCCCCCCCACACACACACACAATTTGGTAGAACTATAGTATTACTGTAGAAAATAGCAGAGCTCCAGATAATTTTTTTCCTCAAAGTGTATTTAATCCCTGATTTTCAAATCAATACAAATTTTGCTTATCAGCTAAATAATCAAAGAGTATTTTGTTAATCTATTGCTCTTTTGACATCTAACGTGATTTTTAGCTTGTTATCGAAAGAAGTGTTTTTGAAAGAGGAGTGTAAAAAACGGACAGTTTCTGCATTAATCAATTAGGTTAATGAAATCTTTAAAATTTTGTCAGCTTTTAGCTATAACCAAGAAACATACTGTTTCTTTCAACAGAAAGACCATACGGTAAGCAAAGTTACCACGGGCGCATACCAGAACTCCATTTAAGATTAGGCCTATATCGATCGTAGCAAGAGTTGACCGAGAAAAATATCCTTCTTTTGGCCAGATAAAATTAATCTTTAGATTCTCATCCCCACCTGCCCCTTTCAAAATGTCTCTTTTTTTTAATCAAAAATATACATAAGGTTTTGCTATATTGGCATCGATCGAGGTAATAGTTTTAGAGTTACTCCCCCTTTGCATTAAAAGTCGCTTGGTGCTATTTATAGCACAGGAGCATGTTGAAAGCAAAAAAAAATTTCCTTTCAATAAAAATTGAAACACTGAGCTGACCTCAATTCACATAATTCATTAAATCGTACTTACATCATTCAATCCATTGTATGCAGTACTTTCATAGTGTAATGCTTATTTATGATTGCTAATGTGTAATTGTACACCCTGATTTAATTTCTAATGCATATTTTGAAAAATTCAATGCATATTTCTGCAAATACGCACCTTATCTAGAGCTCTGAAATAGGGTTTTTTAATGCTTGTGCCCCTGAATAATAAAGTCTGATGACCCGGCCCTTTCTTCTTTTGCTTGTCAAGGAATTTTTGCTTAATAGTGCCCCTAAACCGAAAATATTTGGTTGTGCTCCCCCCCCCCCCCCCCAATTGAAATTGCTTCCTACAGGCCTGCATATTAAATTAGTATATATACTACTTGTATTTACAGTCAAACCTCATTATCTCAAACACAATGGAAGCAACAAAAAACTGAGAGATATTATCTGAGGACTTGAGATATCAAGGGTAAAATGCTTAAAGAATTAGTGGTGGGACTTCCAAATCACTTTGACATATCCATGGTATTAGGGATATTGGTGTTCAAGATACCAAAAGTTCAACTGAATATGTATTTTCTGAACAACATCACAAAATTTCATATATTACACAAGTAACAGCAGTCCAAATAGCTAGCTACATCAAAGAGATGTTGTAACTGGATTTTCTCTGAAAAGAAACCTCTGAACAAATCCATGAAAACAGGTACATCAAGTCCCAGCCCTTACATGTTATCGGAAACAGCATGAGAAATTAATATCAGATCTATATCGGGACAAGAATTTAACATTCTGTGCTATTAAATCAAAGTACTAAAATCTAATTGTTGCTACCATCACTCATTATCCCTTTGCAGTGATTGGGAAGGGCTTGCGCCATGCGCCATAGTCGCATTGAAGTGGAAAATGGTACATTAAATCAACCACTGGTAGTGCCAAGGTGCGCATTCAGTTTTTAATGATGTCTGTTGGTAATATTTTTTGTAAGACTTTTGTTTTAAATGCAGTCATTTTAATAGTTAAATCAACAAATCTCATTGGTTTAAACCCACCAAAAACTTCCTTCCTATATATGTATTCTTTAAATGTGCTACACTGCATATGTGAAAAATTAAATTTAGTTGTTTTCTTGCGTTTTTAAAAATGGCCCTTCAGAACATATAGATGGTCTATAGGTGGCCTATTCATATTCAAAATGGCCCAATAAAAATTTTGACAGTTGTGCCATAGTTCCATTGACCTTCATGGCCTTCCCAATCACTGCCTTCATCATAAAATATAAAAATTAACATACTTAATAACTTTGAATAAATAGACATTTTCAAGATAAGCTGCATTTTTGTTTTTAGAAATGTTTTTAACTATTTCGTATAGTTTCGGATGCATCAATTATTTTAGATAACTGAAGCCCCTCTACGGCTTGAGTAAAAATTAAAGTTTATTACGACTCTTTATTTTTTCCTTTCTTTTTTATAAGTCTCCTAGCTTTCATTAATACAAAAATACTTTTATGAACTTATGAACAGCTGTTATTATAAATTTTAACATGTATTCAACACATTATTCAATCTGGTCAATGACCCTCATTTCATTGTTTAACACAAAAACACACCTAAATATGGAGACGCAGCATCTTTTTCCACATGAAGGTCAGCATTAGAATGATTGATGGCCAACAAACACTATACCACAACTTCACTTCTTATCAGTCAATTGTGGAATATAATTCCAACCTCTAAATTGTTAGCCATATGGGTATTCAATAAATCACACAGTATATATGCCCATTTCTTTGAAGTTGAAGCCAGGCAACATATCCGACAAGGTAGACAACTGCTGATAGGGGTCTAGCTAAATACAGATCATTCCCTGCCTAGCAATTCTGGGTTATAATATCATTTTTCATCGACAAGACAGCTTTTTGAGGATTGATGGGTAGTGAATAGAAATTTTTATGTTCTAAACAGATTCATTTACAAGTAAACATCCTCATCGGATGTATATTCTGGAAATCTAGGAGCTAGTTAAAATCATAGTCCCAACTGATAATAGTAAATTTATGTCATTTTTGTATAATATATTGACTTCTACTTCATGGCATTGAAGTTTTTATTGTTTGCATATTTCAGATGTTTTTAGAGGTACTGAACTTAAGATGTGATGCATTCTTGTAATATCTGACCACAGAACCTAACAGAGATGCATCTCAAGACTTACAAATTATGCAAAAAAAAAAAAAAAAAAAAAAAAAAAAAACTGTTCTGATGCTCAATGACACTTGGCCAATAGTCAAACTTTTGAATCCCACAAAACAAACATCTTTAAACAATCTAGTTTACATTTACATATTTCGTTCAGACAAAAGTGCATTATGATATTTTAGATTGGTGAGAAAATGTCTGTCATTTGCTTTGGTGCACAAAACAAATTTATCTGCATTAACCAAACTAAAATATGCTGTACAAGAAGTCACACTAAAATTCTCATAAAATTTAAATGAATCACTTATCAGTTTAACAATAAATTCTGAAAATACGTACATAAGAGTGAATGACTTTAATTATTAAGGTCTTCCGTCTCCAACGGAAGACCTTATTGTTTTCGTTCGGTTTCTTTTTAGGTCTTCCGTTTTCAACGGAAGACCTATAGTGATTCTACTGTTTCTTATTATTATTATTCTTATTTTTTTGACTTTCTAATTTTGTGCACGCGATTTCTCGAAGACTATTGGATGGATTTACATGAAATTTTCAGGAAAAGTGTGCTGTAACATGAACTTGATCTATCTGAGAGAAAATTTGGAAATTCCCTTCCGGTGCCAAGTTACAGACCATTTTCTGATTTCAAAATGACATTTTGTCCGCGGATAATCTCAAGAACGACAAGAGATATTAATGTCAAACTTACAGGGATTATAGTTCGTGATAGGTACTAGCCAGGTCGCCATTTTCGTTTGTCGTCGGCACTTCCGGTTGCTTACGGAAGTGATCAAAGAAATCGTAAAATTTCAACTTTCCTTTTTTAAATTAATACTTACATCACATTATTGGATCTCTTTTGTAGTTTCGAAATATGTTGGTCCCACCGGAAACAAAAACATCAACTTCCGGTTATAAGAGAAAAACTACATAATTTGAGTATTTTTCTTTCCCAATAATATCTTTTGTAGATAAAGTATTTGAAATGAATTTTAAATATGTTATTCAGACTAAAAATGTCTTGAGTAACTTCAAATATTTTTGTAAAATTCACTTCCGGTCGCGTGTTTTCCTGTCCTCAAAATGAGAAGTTGTGTGAGCAAGATCTCGGAAACGGTAAGAGATTAAGACACTAAACTTTTATGAGCAACAGACCTTAAGATGTAGGCAAAACCATTTGGGTTCAGAGCGTCAGTCGTCACTTCCGATCGTCACAGGAAGTGATCAAAGAAAACGAAAATTTCAACTTTTCTTTTTTTAATTAAAAATTGCATCACTTTATTGCATCTTTTTCGGAGATTCGAAAGATATTCGTCCCACCGGAAACAAATACGACAACTTCCGGTTAGAAGAGAAAAACTAAATAATTTGAGTTTTTTAATTTCCCGTAAATATTCTTTATAGATAAAGTATTTGAAATGAATTTTAAATGTGCTATTCAGAATGTAAATGTCTAGAGTAAACTTATATATATTTTTTCAAAAATTTACTTCCGGTCGCGTGTTTTCCTGTCCTAAAAATGAGAAGTTGTCTGAGTGAAATCTCAAAACCAGGTAAAAGATTAAAACACCAAAATTTTAAGAGTAATGGACGTTGAGGGGTAGGTGAAACCATTTGGGTTAAACGCGTCAGTCGTCACTTCCGCTTCTCACAGGAAGAAGAAATCAAAAATTTTAACTTTTCTTTTATAAATAAAAACTTACATGACTTTATTGCATCTCTTTTGTTGTTTTGAAATATGTTAGATTCCATCGGAAACAAAAACGTCAACTTCCGGTTTTAGGAGATAAACTACGTTATTCTTATATTTAACTTTCTCATAAATATCGCTTATCAATGAAGTACCTGAAATGATTTTATGCATATTGTAGATACTGCAAATGTCTAGAGAACAGTCAGAGATTTTTTTTTTTTATAAAATTCACTTCCGGTTGTGTGTTTACCTGTTCTCAAAATTAGAATTTAGTCCCACAATATTGTTCGGCAACAGTAAACGACTGAGGACTAAAACTTTCAGGACTGATATTCAGTCATCAGTTGATTTGAATCGTGAGAAAATCTTGCATCGCCGTTACTTCCGGTCGTGAAAGGAAGTGATTTAAAAAAGTGAATGGTTAATGGTTAGCACGTTGGATTTTCACGCTGACGATTAGGGTTGAATCTCCAGAGTGTCTGAATTTCTTTTATCATTTTTTCAGCTTGAATTTTCGTTTTTATTTTCAGAATCGGACGGAAGACCTCTCATTGCTCGCAATGAGTTTCTAGTTAAGTCTTCCGTTCACAACGGAAGACTTATAGTGATTGTATTGTTTCTTTTTATTATTATTATTATTATTATTATTCCTCCCAAATTTTGTGAGCGCGATTACTCAGAGATGGTTGGATAGATTTTCACAATTTTTCACATGATAGTAGGCTGATATATGAAGTTTATATAAAATTCCGTTTTTTGAAAAATTCACTTCCGGTCCGAAGTTACGGCCGAATTTCCAATTTTTAAATGCACTTTTGTCCGGAATTTTTCTCGGAAACGGTTTGAGGTAAAGATGTGAAATTTACAGGGGTATTAGATCATGACATTCTCTTTGTTTCGAAGTTGTTTTCGTGTGTTTCCGGTACTTCCTGTCCGAACCGGAAGTGAACCTGTGTTTGGTCAATTTTCAACTTTTTTGTTTTTTAATATTTTTTAAAGATATTATTATGTATAACAGAGTTTATTCTACAAATACTAAATATATAATTTGTTTTGAAATCAGATTCCACATTTTGTAGATTTTTGGTACCCTCATTTTCCCTATTTACCTAGTGGGCAAAGAAGGATAACTCTGACTTGCAAGTGAGAATAGAACTTTCGAGATAAAGGCGGAAATAGTATCGATGACGTTAGAAACATATACACTCTCAAGATCAACATATTTAGACGTTCGATATTCACTCTTCTAAATGTAAGAGTACGTTAGTAACCGCTTCCAGTGCATGTATAGTTTAAAGTTGCCAGTGTAGTGTAAGTCTGTATTGACAGTTAATTGATTTACACATGTATATATCTAAAAAAAAAAAATACTATATATGCTAGGTAGCGAATTCAAGTAAATAAATTATAAGCACTGAATATACATTTATAGTGATGGACAGGCATGCAGTTTTATTTATCTCGTATAGTAGTAAGTTCAGAATAAGATAGTTACTAAGCCTTCTATAATGCAGACGATTTATTATTCTCTATTATTTGAATGCGAATTTATCCCGATTTCCGAGTTTTATTTTCAATATTAAAAAATATTACATACACTCGAAAAGGAACTGAGCGAAAGAAAATACAGTACTGTTTTAAAGCCTTTGGAAATAAATTGATATCTGCCACTTAAAAGAAGGAAAATCAATTTATAGATTAGATTATAACATGTATATTTGATAAAAAGTTAAATTATTCATGACACATGATCTATACTCTATATACCCAAGGAGTTATAAAAGATGTGAAAAGGCGATTCTTGGATTCTTGTGAAATACTCAAAGAGTTAAAAAAAAAAAATGTGAAAACGCGATTCTGTGTGAAATAATGCTACGCTATATGTTTCTTTTGGGAAAAAAAAACAGGATAAAAAAATTGCACAGGTCTGTTGATATGTGGGATAAGTATACCTGAATGAGCACAATTTTATGCAATGATATATAATTATGTACATGCAACTGACGTCCGTACTTTTCCTTATAATTCATAAAACTATCTAATTCCTTTGACCCCCCCCCCCCGTCTTGATTACTATTTGGAGACGTTCGTGCAGACAGGCATTTGAATTATATTTTCGTTTTAGATTTAAATCTGGAACGTGTGGTTATAATTGCCATTTACATGTCATATGTACAGAATTTCATATTCTGTAATGGTACATTTGTCATTATGATACTGAAATGTTCAATTTACATGTCTGAGAGAGAGAGAGAGAGAGAGAGAGAGAGAGAGAGAGAGAGAGATTCCCTCTTAATCCCGATCCTCTTATCCATTTACATAGACCCAAATATATTTCTATATCAGTCACACCCATTCTTTATTAAATGTTTTCTGATTTCACAGTCAGTCATGGTCACATCCTGTATATTTTTCTGCTTAAAAAGTATCGCACGAAGTGCACGTGTGTTGACCTGTCAATCAAAATCACCTGACGCTGTATGCACTGCAATAAAGTAGCCTGAGTTCGAAATGATCTTGAAGTATGATCTTTAAGTAGATCTGATGCAACAAACTTGTGAAAATATAAAATGAAATAAAAAGTAAAATATCTCGGTATTATGAACTTTGATTGTGGGACGTGGAGACCGGCCCTTTGAGATCGTATAAATCGAGGTCCCGTGTCGCAGAAGGTGCTGGTATAAAAAAAAATTCCTCATTGCTCAATGGCGATAAGTGCCAAAGTATAGGACAGAAATTAAAAGTCTTCACCGGCGAGTAGTGGCGTCTCCATGTGTGTGAAAATTCTCGAGAGGGACGTTAAACGACATATGATCAATCAATTGCTGAATAATTACTGTAACTGAATAATCTTTCTTATAGGTATGCTGTCAAATCTTGATATTATAACTTTACAAAACTCAGTGACTTTACGTTTAATGTGATACTAACTTAAT